AAAAAAATGTCCCTTAGCACACAAAGGAAACTGCAGAAATTATATCTCTTAGAAACAGTGCCTTCATACCTAGTTAGGATGTATAAGAGCCACTCTGGCCTCAGTTGTCCTCTGTGAGCTGCAGCTGCCATCCATTGTCAAGCTACACTTATTGAGTGCTCCTCAAAGATTAATCACTGTTTGGTATGCTCTGAGCCACATTTGTCACCTGGCTCTATGATCACATTGCGTATGTGCAGAATTTGATACCTTCCTGAGCTTTAATTCCGTTTTCAGGATTCAGAGTACAGGTAGTCCTTAACTTACAAGCACAGTTGAGCCCAAATTTTCCATTGTTAAGCGAGGTAGTTGTTTAACTGAATTGTGCCACTTTTTTGCCACAGTTGCTAAGTGAATCACCGCAGTTGTTAAGTGAATCACATGGCTGTTAAGTGAATGTGGATTCCCTCATTGACTTGGCTTGTCGGAAGCTGGCTGGAAAGGTCATATACGGTGATCACATGAACAGTGCAATGGTCATAAATACATGCCAGTTGCCAAGCGCCCGAATTTTCATCATGTGACCATAGGATGCTGCAGTAGTTGTAAGTGTGGAAACAGGTCATAAGTCACTTTTTTCCAGTGCTGTTGTAACTTTGAATGGTCACTAAATGAACGGTTGTAAGTTGTAGCTGTGCCCAAGTAGTCCTTGGGTTTACAGCTTCCTGAGTTTACAACTCCTATAGAGAACAGAATAACGTGTCTTGTATAGGTAACCCTCTTTCTTTAGAGCAGTCTTCTTAAAGCCGATGTTCTCCAGATGGGGATGGGAGTTTCAGCTGCCAGAAGTGTCAAAAACATTGGCTGTGCTGCTAGGGAAATCTGGGGATTCTAACTCCAACCTGTTTGGAGGGTCTCCATGTGGGATACTGTAGACTACTTGTTTGGGGCTGAGAGCCATCCTTTTTTTTTTTTTTTTTTTTTAGCCCTCAAGCAAAGCTGCACCAAAAAAAGCAGGAAGGGCAGAAGTTGTCTGAGCAGATGCAAGAATAAGGAAAATGACCTTGATGAAAATATGCAGTATTGGTAACACTTAGCTAGGCAACCATGTTGAAACAAAATCTTAAAACCTGAGAAACTACATAACATTTAGAAGCAGCTTAGGAAAAGACCTCCCTACTTCACTGAGTATATATAAGAAGGGGGAAGAGGTACAGCACAATCAGACAATTCTGTCATTGTAGCCAATTAAAAGCAATTCTAGTTTTTCTATGTAGTTGGTTTCCTAATCTGGTTTACCTACTTGGGCTGGTTTACCTACTTGATTCAATTAAGAATGAACAGAATGAAATTTCTTCACAGTTTAAAAATTAGTTTGGTGGCAACATAGGGCAGGATTTGCTATACTGAAGGGTTTTTTTTGCGGGGGCAACCACCTATGGTCTTGGAGACACTCCTGATAGAAATTATATTACATTGGCTCCAGGATAAGGGTGCTGATCATTCTCAAAGAGTAGGTGTCTTGTGTATATGTTTTCACCATTCAAGGTGAATATGTATGTATATGTATATGTATGTGTATGTGTATGTGTACGTGTATGTGTATATGTGTGTATAAGTATAAATGTATATATATGTGTATACGACTCCTGGGCATAATTATAGTAAAAAATAAATAATATACGACCACCAGGAGTATCCAAGTAAGGAAATACTTTACTAAAACCGAGCTTTTGTTGGGAACTTCCAACATCGTCAGGGTTTTAGTAAAGTATTTTCCTTACTTGGATTCTCCTGGTGGTCGTATATTATTTATTTTTTCCTGTGTGTGTGTGTGTGTGTGTGTGTGTGTGTGTGTGTGTGTGTATATGTAGGTCTTTGGTTATTCGGGTTTTCTCCCGCGTAAAATTGGAATTGTCTTGGCGACGTTTCGACGAAGTCCCATTCGTCATCTTCAGGCTGGTGTTTTCAGCTTCGTGCTTCGAGGAACAATGTGTGGTCTTAGCTGTTTCTTCCTTTTAACTGCCAGTGGGGGTATGAACTGATTGGGTGGGAGCTTGGCTGTGTTCTGATTGGGTGGAGTTGTGTTCTGATTGGTTAGGGGCTTGGCTTGCTCTGATTGGCTGGGGGGTTAGCTGTGCTCTGATTGGCTGGGGGGTTGGCTGTGCTCTGATTGGCTGGGGGAGTGTTCTGTTTGGGTGGGGGCTTTGTTGTGCTCAGGTTAGTCTGAGTTGCAGGGGAGTTTAAGATGGTGGGTTGCCTTGCTATTTTTTGGCTTCATGTTCGTGGTCGTGCCTCATCTTCATGGTGGGTGTCAGTTTGCTTCATGTATGGATTGGAGGGGTTTAAAGTGGCTAATGATGCAGCTGTGGTCTGGCTTCTGGTTTGTGGTCGTGCCTCATCATCGGTGTGGCTTTGGGTTTGCTTTTTGTGTGGATATGTGGTGGTGACATCCTGTGTGGTTTTTGTGAGTGTGGGTCTGGTGTCATTTTTTGTGTTAGGGAGTCGTTTGTCAATAAGGGCGGGTTTCCAAATGGCTGGTAGGCGGGAGGTATCATCTCGTTTGTTCATGCTGTGTGGGTGTTTTTCTATCTCGATGGCTTCTCTGATTATTCTGTTATTAAAATGTTCAGTTTTGGCGATAGTTCTGATATTTTTAAAGTCAATTTCATGTCCTGTGGCTTTAAGGTGTTGGACCAGGGAAGAAGTTGGTTCGTCTTTTTTGACTGAGTTCTTATGTTCTTCAATGCGTGCACTTATTCTTCTGTTGGTTTGTCTGATGTATGTGTTGGGACAAGCGGTCCATGGGATTTCATATACTCCTTGATTTTCTAACTCAATTTTATCTTTGGGGTTTCTTAGGATGGTGGATATTTTTCTGTTTGTGCAGAATTCTGTTTTGATGTTGTGTTTATGGAGGATCTTGCTGATTCTGTCTCTGGTGCCTTTTATGTATGGGAGGAGGGCTTTGCCGTTTTCTTGTTCTCTGTCTTGGATTTTAATGGGGGTTTCTTTTTGGATTAGGTTTGTAATCTTATTTCTTTGGAATCCATTCGATGTTAGTACATTGGTGAGAATGTGTAGTTCGGTTTTTAGGTGTTGTTCGTCAGCTAAGCGTTTTGTTCTGGAGATGAGTGTCTTGGCTACGGAGTTGATCTGTGCTGGGTGGTGGTGTGAGAGAGCGTGCAGATAGCGGTTTGTGTGTGTTTTCTTCTGGTAGATGGTGTGTCCTAGGGAGCCATTGGATTTCTTGTAGACTAAGATATCCAGGAAGGGAAGTTGGTTATTAGCTTCTGTTTCCATGGTGAACTGTATTTTGGGGTGTAGGCTGTTGTGAGGAAGTTCTTATGTCAAAAAAGAGGAACCAACATCTTCCCTGGTCCAACACCTTAAAGCCACAGGACATAAAATTGACTTTAAAAATACCAGAACTATTGCCAAAATTGAACATTTTAATAACAGAATAATCAGAGAAGCCATCGAGATAGAAAAACGCCCACACAGCATGAACAAACGAGATGATACCTCCCGCCTACCAGCCATTTGGAAACCCGCCCTTATTGACAAACGACTCCCTAACACAAAAAATGACACCAGACCCACACTCACAAAAACCACACAGGATGTCACCACCACATATTCACGCAAAAAGCAAACCCAAAGCCACACCGATGATGAGGCATGACCACAAACCAGAAGCCAGACCACAGCTGCATCATTAGCCACTTTAAACCCCTCCAATCCATACATGAAGCAAACTAACACCCACCATGAAGATAAGGCACGACCATGAACGCGAAGCCAAAAAATAGCAAGGCAGCCCACCATCTTAAATCCCCCTGCAACTCAGACTAACCTGAGCACAACAAAGCTCCCACCCAAACAGAACACTCCCCCAGCCAATCAGAGCCCAGCCAACCCCCCAGCCAATCAGAGCACAGCCAAGCCCCTAACCAATCAGAACACACCTCCACCCAATCAGAACACAGCCAAGCTCCCACCCAATCAGTTCATACCCCCATTGGCAGTTAAAAGGAAGAAACAGCTAAGACCACACATTGTTCCTCGAAGCACGAAGCTGAAAACACCAGCCTGAAGATGACGAATGGGACTTCGTCGAAACGTCGCCAAGACACTTCCAATTTTACGTGGGAGAAAACCCAAATAACCAAAGACCTACATACAAATACCCGCGAAAACCTCAGAAAACACACACACATATATATATACTATTAAAACAGTGATCACCAAGAGAATGCTTTAAAGAATAAAATTTAATTAATCAACCAAGCTTTCGTCAAAATACATTTGACATCATCAGGGTTAAAAAGCAAGTATAGGGAATAGACTTATATACCGTTATCAAGCATCCCGTTATCAAGTATCTGCTTCCGGCTCTTGGAGTGCGTCATAGGCCCCAGCTGTTTAGAATGTAACCCAAGCGTGTCTCCTTTAATACACATTCTTTTGTTCTTAGGTTGCATTCCCTCACACACCACTCGATCGGTAGCTTCGGGATTAAGTGGATTCAGGACTAAGGCATGGAAAAAAAGTGACTTATGACCATTTTTCATAATTAAGGACCTGTGCAGCATTGCCATGGTCATGTGATCAAAATTTGGGCACTTGGCAACTACCATGCATTTAAGATAGTTGCAGTGTCATGTGATCATCTTTTGTGACCTTCTGACAGGCAAAGTCAATGGGGAAGCCAGATTCACTTAAGATCTGTGTTACTAACTTAACAGTTGCAGTGATTCACTTAACAACTGTGGCAAGAAAGGTTGTAAAATGGAGCAAAACTCACTTAATAGCTGTCTTGTTTAGCAACCGAAATTTTGAAAAACTCAATTGTGGTCCTGAATAGAGGACTCCCTGTACACATTTTGTCACTTGCCTTTTGTCATTCATCCCACCTCACCTGGGGAGGTAAGACTGGAGATTCTATCTACTTGTTGGATTCTGGGTTTTTTTTGTGAAAGCAGAAGAGGCAGAACCTCTGTTGTTGTTTCTTTAACTAGGTCCGTGCCAGCGCAATTGCGCAAGATGCTGACCAGAACTATGACTACGCCAGCAACAGTGTGATCCTGCACCTGGATGTAGGCGATGAAGTCTTCATCAAACTCGACGGCGGGAAGGTTCATGGTGGAAACACCAATAAGTACAGCACGTTCTCCGGATTCATCATCTACCCAGACTGAGCTTTCCTCGCTCCAGTTTTTCCCTCCCTGTTTTCCCTCCCCAAATCCTTTCCCTGTGAGTCAGCTTTTATTCTTCTTGCCTTTATCATCTGTGTGGATTCCCAGAGGCTCCTTCTGTAAGCTCTGGTCAATCGAGGATGAATCAGAAAAACTTGGAGACGCGGTGATTCTACCCTCCCCATCCGGTCCCTCCCATGGAAGGAGGGTGGGTGATAAGGGACTTTCTCTGCATGGGGAAAATCAGGGAGGGGGTGGAAACAGGGTAAACTATTATTATATTATGGTTGGTGGCCCAATCAACCAGAGGTTTAGATTGGATTTGACATTATTATTATTATTATTATTATTATTATTATTATTATTATTATTCGCACAGTCAGCCAGATGTTCAGACTGGACTTGACATTTTTGTCTACCTATCAAGTCCTTACTAAGGTCCTGGGATAAGCAGATGTGGATGCTTGAATTGATGGTATTACAGATATCGTCCCAGGATGGAAGCAGTTCCTAGTAAGGCCGCCTTTTGCAATTGACTAATGGCGAATTTGTCAATGCCAATGGTGTTCAAGTGGTGCTCCAGTTGTTTTGGGGTTGCACCTAAGGCACTTATTATTATTATCATCAGCATCATCAGCATCATCAGCATCATCATTAGACCTTGGTCAATAAAAGGAGTGTCCCTAAGAGAGTTAACTTCTAATTTTGGAACTTGGGTACTTTGGGGTGAAAAAAACCTAATTAAATAAGAATGGAACCAAACCCCTGGCAAATTCTACAAAATTCATTCTCTCTGCATATATACAGTACTCCTTCCCGAAATAAAAGAAGGGGGAGTTTTATCAGCACTCTGTTTCATCTTTCCCCAAATAGAAGTTATTGCACTGATGCCCTTTCTTTCCTCCAAGAAGCTCAGGATAACTTATAACCTTACAAGTATCCTATGAGAGATTTCCAGTTTCAGAGTGGACAGTTTAAGATCACCCAGCCAGCGTTGTGGCTAAATGGGAATTTAATTTGGGTGTCTTAACTGAGAGCAGCATCATTTCATGGAGCTACGCTGGCTCTAGATGCTACAGATATTTTCAATCTTCCTGCCTTCTTTAAAATTATATTGATTAGATTGCTTTTTGTGTATGTAAAGAGGTTACATTTCTACAAGAATAATCTGCTGTAGAGTTGCATTGAAAGCCAATGGTGGGCAGGGCTGAAGAAGTGACGGGCAGGGCCAAAGCTAAAAATGTGTGGGATCATCCACCTCTCTTTATCTAACACCCCAATAATATTTTTGTCTGACCCTTCCCCCTTCTGTCTCACACATACACACTGCCCTCCTCACCCATCCCACCTACATGTTCAAGTGCTGGTGAAGAGACGCATAATCCTCATTAAGGATCTCAGCTGATGACTAGCAAAAATAGACCATGATTTCCCAGGTAGTATAGCCAATGTGAAGTTATTTGCGGGATGGAGCACTTCAAGCAAGTTTTAGTTTCTGCAGTCCTATTGTCCACAGAAATGTGTGTTGGCCTCCATAGAATCTGAAATATATCTGCATGAAAAAACACTCAGATAAAACTATGCATATGAGGCCTAAATTTTCCAAAAGGAGATTGTTCTGCTGAAAGCAATGGGGGAAAATCCTTTTCCATTCATCAATCCTGCCTCCTACCTTGCTTTTCAACAGACATTAGACAGTTCAACCTCAATTCCTATCTAGCTTTGTACACTTATTCACGGATTGTGGAGGCAGCTGCTCCAGGGGACAATCTTTGCATGAAGATTATATAAATAATATGAAAATAGACTTTAGATGTCAAAGAGTTGGAGTCTGTTCCACTTTCCCCATAGTCCTTTTGAACTCAGAAATGAAACTTATACTATCCTGAATCACAGATCTTTGCATCAAATGATGACTTTACTACAGAACACATCAAATGTTCTCTTTGGCTGCCCTCCTGGAATCAGCCAAAGGGCTGATGGATGGTTTTTGTCATGTTCCTCAGAAACAGCACAGCCAGCCCAACAGGCATCAATAGAAGCTCCAGATGTCTCATTCTGTCCTCACTTTCTCCTTGACCTATCCGCCAAAGACTACATCGCTCTTACCTTACTTCGGGTATGTACACTTGCCAGTAAGACATCCATAGCAACATCTGCACATTCATTCTAGCATCTGACTCCTTCATTTGCAGATCTATGGAATCCTATTCCAACTACATCCCCAACACAGGTCAGTACGTACCAGAACAACTTCTAGATGAGAACAAAGTCACGCTACATCCATAGACTTTAATAAGGATAGAACAGATTGAAGCAACGAAGTAACTGGCTTCAAGTAGCACAGCAGGGGTGAATGAGATGGAAGAAAGCAAGAGAACTGGTACCTTAATGAATTGACAAACTGGTGGAGGACACATCTTGTTCGCTGTTCTTCAGACAGAACATCTCTTGCAATCCTGACCTAAGTCCAACAGGGCCTTATCAATTAAAACTGCATTCCCATCAAGCCAAAAGCATGCCATCATTTCAGACTATTTCTCCCCCAGTCCACTGGCGTGCCTATAATAATTCCTGAGCTTCTATATCCACGTGCATGCCACCTTTACATTGCTTTGGCATCTAGAACTTTGATCAAGGCAAGGAGACAAGATAGTCAATGCTCTAAGTTGGCTTCACCCTGGGCTCCTTTTCTTCGTCTTCTCACAACAAACAAAAAGTGTTCTTTATTCCACATGCCTCTACAACTCTTTCTAAGTGTCATATCTGCACTGAAATATGAAATGTGTGCACTTGCACGTGTATATTTTGACATCTTTGTAGCTCTCACATGTTGTCCAAAAATTGTTCAGATGACCCCATAAATAGCATAGCTGTTCATGCATGTGCCAAATTACAAATGGAAATTGTAAATATACTGTATATTTATGTTTATGTACAGGGCTATTTATGCAAAATTTGAAGGGAAGGGGAAGAGAAGTTCAACAGCCTCAGAGCCAAAACTAAAAATAAAAATCAGAATTAGCCGGATTGACTCCTGAAGCACTGTTACATTTTCAAGTACCAAAAATGAAAAAGATCTTGAGAGTTCTCAGGCTGCTTTGAGATATATAGAGCCCAGTGAATATATGTCCTTGTGCCTACTTGTGGTAGTGCTCAGAAATGCAGACATCTTTCCAATGTATCTATAGGACATCCGTCGCTTTCATACATTTATGGATGATTATTTGAGGATGAACACGGTGGCCTAGGTTGGAAGACTAGAAAAGAAGCTACGAAAGGGAATTCATGCATATGCACACACCGACTGCACATCCAAAGTTGTAGGTGGCAAACGGTCTACAATTGGGAGAGGCAAGGCCACGTCATGGTTGCTTAAAGAATGCAACATCCACCCACACTTATTCTAGTACACACCTGTGAGTGCATCTATTATTATTCAGCCATAGGGATGTCTTGCAGATTAAGGATCACCATTTCAGTTTCCTCTCAGCTATCAAGGCCCTTTTTGCTTTCACCTCTGAGCCTTCTCGTTCCTCATCTTTTAGGGGACCGAGAAAGAGCTATCTGCCCCCCTCCCCAAGGGCTGACATTTTCAGTGCAGCCCTGTTATTGGGCCAGACCTGCCCTGCATGTCTGCTCTTTCATTTTCAGACCTAGGGAGAATTCGGAGGGTATTCAGTACATGTTCTAGGATAGTGTTTCTCAACTACACATGCTGGTTGGAGAATTCTGGGAGTTGATGTCCACACATCTTTTAGGGACCAAGGTTGAGAAACACTGCCTGGGTAGAAGAAACCTGACAGAAGGTCCCCAGGGCATAGTATAACCTCAGTATCAACCCAGTTTTGCAGCCAAGAATATACTGTAAATCCATTGGGCCCAATCAGCTCTATGTCATTGAATTATCAGAATCTGTGTTTTATCAGTTAATAAAGATATTTTGGTTTTGACTCATGCCTTGTCTTTAGCACATTCATTTGCATGGGGATGGGTGATCCCAGAAGCATCTACATGCTTTATAGGGTCCCACCCACACAAGCTAAGCCCTGTGTAGAAGACACACATGTTTGAAACACACACATTTGTTTTCCCATGCCACACCTGATAACTCTTTTAAAGAAACATCTACAAACCACTTTTCAGCAGCATCAGAACACCTTCTCGCTCTTGAAAATTAAGCTCAGAAAAAGACTTTCACTTCTTGATAATCTCAGCTGTCTCTTTTTGAAAAGTTTGGCATTTTCTTTTTAAGAAAGTCATATCAACAAACACATATATAGAGAGAGAATTATGTATTTATGTGTGTGTGTGTGTGTGTGTGTGTGTGTGTGTGTGTGTGTGTGTGTTCCTATTCCCTTTTCTTTTCCTCAATACAATACATATTCAATACATACACAAATATACCCCCAGGAAACAAGATGGTAGGATGATAACAAGTAATGCTGCAATGAGGATACTATTTTTAAAGAAAAAAGAAGCTACAATAGCACTAAACATATCCAAACAGGCAGGTCTTTAAATGGTGAGTACAAGCCCACAGGAAGCTATAATCTAGCTGCTGTGCATGATTCCATCCTACCTCCAACCTCCAGTGATGGCAGAAGCAGACCCTGGTTGAATAGTTTTGGGTAACAAGAAGGAAGGAAAAATGGAACTCAGGATTGATAGGATCTGTTAGGGCAGGGGTCCCCAATCCTCGGTCTGTGGATCAGTACCAGACCACAGCATGCCAGCAACCGGGATGCATAAAAAAGGAAAGCCTCATCCGCGGGATGCAGGCAGCACACAAAACCACGGAAAAACCTCTGTCCATGCAACCGGTCCCTGGTGCCCAAAAGGTTGGGGGCCTCTGTGTTAGGGGGTTGCTATAATCAACCAGATCTCAGCACTGACTGTACAAGGACAACATTCATCATGGGAGAAACTGGCTGAACTTCCCTATCTATCTATCTATCTATCTATCTATCTATCTATCTATCTATCTATCTATCTATCTATCTATCAATCATCTATCTATCGTCTATCATCTATCTATCTATTTATCATCTATCTATCAATCATCTATCCATCTATCTATCTATCTATCTATCTATCATCTATCTATCTATCATCTATCTGCTATCATCTATCTATCTCTATCTATCTATCTATCATCTATCTATCTATCTATCTATCCATCATCTATATGCTATCATCTATCTATCCGTTTATCTATCTATCTATATCTGCTATCATCTATCTCAGCGGTTCTCAACCTGTGGGTTGGGACCCCATTTGGGGTCGAACGACCATTTCACAGGGGTCGCCAAACAACGCAGTCTGCCATTTTTTTCCCCCTTTTCCTTAGCTGTGCTACTCCCTTTTAT